TCATTGTGATTCATTTAGACTAGCTTATCACATTAATTTACTGCCACTAAAAACATAGCTGTGGACTGTCTAAGCCTCTTCTGTTTGTCAGAAGGTATTTTAAGCAGAGAATGTAAAGTAATATTGTGAAGACAGAAAGTGCCCCTCTAAGCTTTGTCAGCTTCCACTGTCTCCAAAAAAGCTTCAAATCCTCTGTATATGTGCTCAGATGTAAATTCATCTGAAATGAGTGAAATGTCCTTTCCCTTACGTGTGTTTACTAATGAGGAGTTCATAATAAAACCTCCATCTCTCTCAGTATTTGGGAGAATGTGTCGCTACCGCTGTGCACTGCTAGTTCATCAGCCATGTCGGCAACTTGTAGAAATAATGACACCCCACTTCTTAAATTGGGAGCACATTGTAGACAGGTTTCCTTCCGAGATGCTAATTATGCACCGACCCAAGAGTCACCGAAGATGTGAACATAAGAAGAGCTCAAGCGCCCGGCCCACCCGGCATTCTGGCCACACAGTGGCCAACCAGCTGCCGCAGTGGCCAGCCCAGCCCGGGACCTGAGTGCAGCAGCACCTTTCTGCTCGTGCTCCCGTGTGCAGGGACACGCCTCCTCTGGAACGGCCGCTTGCAGCCACCGGTAGCCTTATTCTCCATGAATCTGAGTGCTGCGTCCTCCCTCTAAGCCCCCTTTAGAGTCATTCGTATTGGCGGCCATCACGTATTAAGCATGTAGCTGATATGCACAGCACTCTGACGATGCTGCAGTTGCCAGTGCAGCAATACAGGGCTAGTGGGAAGCACTTCTGCAGTGAGTACACAACCGGCAGCAGAGCCTGGGTGCACTACCCTGCAAAGCCCTCCTTGCAGACTGGTTTGTCGCTGTTAGCGGACCATGCAAACCAATCCTCTACTTCCACAGCAACAGTTCCCTGGCTCAGATATACTGGACTGCCTGACTCCTACCTGCATAGTAAATGCCTTTTTACTTACAGTCATACAGAAGAAAAATGATTTTGTGCAAAGTCAATGCATACAGTTTTGCAGAAAGTTACATTTAAATTTCATCCGTTTTGCCAAGCTTCAAAATGTTCCTCTTATGTTAGGGGCTCACATAAAGGTTCAAGCAGTATTCCTCGTCCTTTGTAAATTAATTCAACTATATTTGTATCAGTTCATTTCTCATTGATAGTTAACTTTGTGAAGGATGCAAGTATTCCTGCACATTTGATCCAGTTCTGCCAGAGAAGAGAAGAGAAGAGAAGAGAAGAGAAGAGAAGAGAAGAGAAGAGAAGGTTATTGCTGACTCCTTTTTCAAAAATAAATAAATCAGTATTTAAAGGTATGTAGCATAAGGTTAGGCAACATCAGGCAGTCGGTGGGTCCAGCCCTCGAAGTCCTCTCCCTACATGGGCTGCACTCCTGCTTCCAGTGGCGCGGCAATGACAACAAAGCACCCCCATGTCCAGCACCAGCAGCAGCAACAGTGAAACAGGCATTTCCAAGCAAAAAGGTGCGAGGTGTTTTGTGCCTCCCTGAATTCTAAGGTAGGAAAAGTAGGATATATGGAGTAATTTAGATTTACCACCTGCTCAAATGAGATCAAGGGCCTTTCTAACAGTGCTTTGCTCCATATGTCAGCCATTTAAAAGTGTTCAGGATACTCTTGCCCAATCCAGAAGCTTTCCTGGGGTTTTTGCAAGTTCCTACTGCCTCTCTGTTACGTGTAACTAAAAGTTCCAGACTATGGCTTGTCTTTAACTTTAGAAAATACTGAACCACTAATAGCAACCAGAGAGCAGGAGTGCAGTTAGTTTTTTATAATTAAGGAAGACTACTGTACGCTGATAAGCACAACCTATGCCCTCAATACACCGACAGGAAAAAGATGCCATTATTGGCCAGCAAATGTCTACTCTGGGGCTGTGCAAAGCATTGTTCATCTTGATTACAGGAGTTAATGTGAGGTTGGGTTTTACACCCTCTATCTTTTCCATATATTCTAAAATTCACACTCATTAGTGTATATGACAACCTTAATATTTAAAGCTACCTGACTGGCCGTTTGATGATGGTTCCACTATTTTTAGGGACTGCAGGTGGCGCCATGGTTTAAACCGCTGTGCTGCTGGGCTGGTAGATCGAAAGGTCACTGGTTCGAATCTGCACAACGGGGTGAGCTCCCGTAGTCTGTCCCAGCTCCTGCCAACCTTGCAGTTCGAAAGCATGCAAATGCAAGTAGATAAAAAGGTACCACTTCGGTGGGCAGGTAACAGTGTTCCATGCACTTCGGTGTTTAGTCATGCCGGCCACATGACCACGGAGACTGTCTGCGGACAAACGCTGGCTCCCTCAGCTAGGAAACAGAGATGAGCACTGCCCCCTAGAGTCAGGCATGACTGGACTTAACGTCAAGGGGAAACCTTTACCACTATTTTTATAACCACTCCTCTTGTGAGTGATGAAGTGATATAGTGTTTCCTACTCTGGAAATGCCACAGATTTCTTTATTTGTTTCCTGCAGTTTTTAGAGCCTAAGTCTTTCCTCTTGGAACAAACCCTGCAGCCACTTCCTGCCTAATTCCTCTTACACCAGTTTCAGTGTGACCTTGTATACTAGCATTTCTAAGCCAAAAAGACCTTTTGACTTGAGACAACTTTTCTACTTTTACGTGCCAAGGCAGGCTTTGGTTCAGATAGGCCTCTTTGACATGCCTGATCTCTCTGTTGTCCTAAAATTGACTATACTACACTGTCCAAAATTTGTAATACATAATCGTATCATCATTTATTCTATTTATTAATTAGAATAATAGAATAGAAGAGTTGGAAGGGGCCATGAAGGCCATCAAGTCCAACCCCCTGCTGTTGCAGGACATCACGTTACACCATCCCACTCAGATGGCTGTCCAGTTTCTTTCTGAATGTCTCCAGAACTGGACACAGTATTCCAGGTGAAGTCTGACTAGTGAGGAGTATAGGGGAACTACTACTTCTCGTGATTTGGAAGTAATACTTCTATTAATGCATCCCAAAATAGCATTTGCCCTTTTGGTAGCTGCATGGCATTGTTGCTCATGTTTAGCTTATTGTCCACAATTACTCCAAGATCTTTTTCAGTTCAGATGAGCCACGTATTCCCCATCTTGTATCAATGCATTTGGTTTCTTTTTCCTAGGTGGAGGACTTGGCACTTGTCCTTATTGACTCTCATTCTGTTACTTTGAGCCCAGTGTTCAAATTTATCAAGATCACCCTGGATCTTCATTCTGTCTTCTAGGGTGTTTGCTATTCCACCCAGTTTTGTATCATCTGCAAATCTGATTATCTGTCCTTGTACTTCCTCATCTAAATCATTAATAAAGATGTTGAAGAGCCCTGGGGCCAGACTGAACCCTGTGGCACCCTGCTAGTTACCTCCACCCAATTTGAGAAGGTGCCATTGATGGGCATTCTTTGTGACCGATTTAGCAGCCAATTTTGGATCCACCTAATAGTTTTTCCATCTAGTTCAGTTATTGCTAATTTGCTTATCAGAATGTCGTGTGGCACTATGTTGAAAGCTTTGCTAAAATCTAGGTAGATCATGGGTCCTCAAACTATGGCCCGCAGGCTGGATCTGACCCGCCTTGCTGATTTATCTGGTCCGCCTCAGAGCTTTTGGACAACGATCTCTGAGCAAGTCCAAAAGCTCTGAGCTGGTGCAGGTGTACTCAGTGGGGAGATGAATGGGATTGTGCTGGTGGGGGAAGATTGCTGTGGTCGCGCCCGCCTTCCCTGCACTATCATGTTGGTGGGGGGGGGGGGGATGGCCGCGATTGCGGTTGCACTCATGCAGGGAAGACGGGCGCGATTGTGGTCGTGCTCAGGGTGGGGAGATGGTTGCAATGGCTCCTGCCTTCCTTGCCCGAGCGCAATCACATCTGTCTTCACCCCCAAGCATGATCGCACCCATCTCTCCCCCCACCCCCAGCACAATTGCAGACACTGTAGCTACTTTCCTTGAATATGGACATGCTCTTCCCCACCTCATCTTGGGCTTCTGCTGAGCCCAAGCCAGTGGAGCAAACATTTTTTAATTATTTTTTAAAATTTAATTTATTTTAATTAATATTAATTCATTTTAATTCATTTTAAAATTTATTTTAATTTTAATTAATTTTTAATATGCAGTGTCCATAGGAATTCGTTCATATTTTTTTCAAACTATAGTCTGGTCCCCCAACAGTCTGAGGGACAGTGAACTGACCCCCTGTTTAAAAAGTTTGAAGATCCCTCAGGTAGATTATGTCCACAGTATTCCCTTTGTCCATTTGGGAGGTTACCCAGTCAAAGAATGAGATTAAATTAGTCTGATAGGATTTAGTTTTGATAAATCCATGCTGGCTTCTATTAATCACTGCATTTTCTTCAGGATGCTTGCAGGTGAATTTTTTAATAATTTGCTCCAGAACTTTTCCAGGGGTTACATTTATATCCCACTTTCCTTCCTCCAGGGAAACCAGAGCACTTGCATGATCCTCCTTGACCTCTTCTCCGTTTTATCCTTGTTAGGTTAGGCCGAGCGTCACTGACGCGTAGTGTCATGGGTACCCACTCACTGTCTTCCTTCCCCACCCTTGCTAACAGTATTATATCCATAAAACTATATCGCATGAGAATGAAAAATGCAAGACATTGTATCCAGACATATGTGAGCAGAAAAAATTCTGATGGTGGTACTGTCCTGTAAGCAGTGGCACAAGAGCTAGTAGAAGATTTGGTGCAACATGAACTTAGTGCAAGCAAACATCTTAAGAGTTGTGTGACACTATGAACAACTAGTGTGCAGTAACTTGCGCTGGATTTCAGTTCTCTTTTTTACCTTGTGCTAAGCTGGGAAAATAAATTCCCTTCTGCTTGTGGAAGAGGCCTTGCATATATACACTGATAAATGCAGTAGTGCATTACATTTGTTCAGCTCCTTATTCTTGCAGCTACCTAGTGAAAATATTCTTGCTTCACAGGTGTGCCAAAGCTTTGGTGAGATTTGGTGCCCTGGTGAACCTGCCAAGTGAAGAGAGCCAAGACACACCTATCCACTTAGCAGCTAAGCATGGCCTTTATGAGCATGTGCATCTGTATTTGAGGTATGGTGCCACTGTGGACAAGAAGAACAGCCTGGAAGAAACAGCACTCAGTGTAGCTTGTGGAGAAGCAAAGAAAGTAGAGGACCAAGAGAGATATTTGCAAGTATGCAAGCTGCTGCTTACATATGGGGCAGAAGTAAACACTGTGGATGAAGAAGTCAAGACCCCACTTCACAAAGCCTCCAGGAATGCTCACCATGGCTTGGTCCAGCTCCTGTTGCAGTGGAAAGCGGATGTCAATGCAATAGATTACAATGGGGCATATCCAATGTCCTCCATCCTACAGGCTGCTGCTTTTAAGCAGGAGATGAGACCGTACCTCACAGTGCAGACCTTGCTAAACCATGGCTCTCAGAAAATATGGCCTACAGCCTTTGTCAAGGTAATCCTGCTCAGGACTATATCCTTCTCTTCTTGGTTATTCACACACACACGCATGCATGTGCATGCGCACAAACTTCCTGTGCCCCAGACGAGAGAGTCCCCACCTCCACTTACAGACTTCCAGCAGAGGAAGCATCAGCCCACTGAGTTTCTCAGAGACCCACTCTCACCACTCTTGGGCTGGATGGACAGGTGGTCTGTCTCATTAGAAGGCGGCTTCTTGAACATCTATCCTTGTGTGTTGACTAGATGCATTCAGAGATGCCCGTTACACCACCCTATTCATATAACAGTTTATTTTCTTCTTGAATGCCTCTAGTGGGGAAGAGCACACAACCTCTCTGGGCAGCTGGTTCTGCTGCCGTACGGCTTTGACAGTGAGGAAGTTCTTCCTTGTGTCTAGCCTGCACCTGGTGTTCAGTTCATTGTTCCTTGTCCTACAAACTGGGCTGGACGAGAGGAAGTCTTTCCCTTCTTCTTTGTGACAGCCTTTAAGGTACCGGTAGAACACTCTCCTGTCACCTCATAGTTTTTCCCCTCTCCCTCTCCCTCAGTCTGTGCATGAGGAGGGAAGATGATCACTTCAGCTGACTTATGAGTCAACTGATCCAACTGTGCATGTCTGCATCTGCAGCAGCCACCCCTCAGCACAGGCAGCACTGGGAAGGTCATCAGAGCGTGCACCTCTTGCCATCCGGCATCGCCACCACACTGCTTGGGCTGGTACCGAATGGGGGTCTTCTGTGTCCGGAGGCCAAGCAGAGCAGCCCTGGTCCCAGCCCATCTGGTGACACCACTGAGCAGCTGCCACAGCAGACGAGAGGAGCATGGCAGGACAGCATGGCCCTGATCTCAGGGAAAGCTCCAGCAGCTCTCACTGTGGCTTGGGAGGTCTGCTGGCAAGCCACAGTGAGGGCTGCCAGTGATCCCTGCTCCCCCTCCCCACCCCCACCGACCAGTGGTGGCAGCACGAGAACCCCTGGTGCCCCAGAGATGTCCCGGGGAATGCCTGTGGGAAGAGGGTGAGGGAGGGGGTGAGCGAGAGGGCGAGGGAGAGGGTTTGCTTCACTGATGCACTGACTGTCTGTCTCTTGGGAATGTCACCGGCAGCTTGGCCTGCCTCACAGTGACCTGTGAACTTGTCCATAGAGCAAGGAAGACAAGCACCAAGAGCTGCTTCCCCAGAACAGTCCCACATCTTTGAGTGTAAATGTTGGCCCACTGTAAAGGCCAGCTGAGGGGGTCTTTCCCAGCCCAGCACTCTTCCTCCCAGGATCTAACGGAGGAAGATCCACCTGTCACCCCAGCCCATGCAGTTCCAAGATTAACAGGCATGCCAGGCTACGGTGTTGTCGCACTTGGAGGGAATGGCTCCCACACTGCTGGGGAAGGTGCACAAAGTGGGTGTGGGGGACTGAGGCACAGCTGTTCAGACTTCTGCGTGTTAATAACTAGAGCAATACAAAGATCTGGACCAAAAATCTTTTTCTGAGTTTAAAACTTTTCACTAGAAAATTAATTAACTTTAGGCAGAATATCAAGATGAAATATTTTATGTTGGAATTAAACTTGTTTGCACCATTTTCAAAAGGACCAGTGAGTCCTTGCTGCTTATGAGAAGATTTCAGGCAAATGCCAAAAAGCACCAAACTTGCACTAATGGGTATTTTGTCCATCTCCAGCATGTGCAGCATCCCTACTGGAAAGATCAGTTCAAACAGACTTGCATAATGCTGGATGCTCATATTCTTGCTCCCTACCCTCTGTGACTAATTGTTGAAAATAAGTGAATTAACCCTTCCAGTCCAACACCTTGAAGGACTGCAATAATAACCATTTTAATGGCTTGGGAATCCCTGAACTACATAAATATTAGCTAATCCAGGAACTATCAACAATCTAGATTTGTCCTGCTGAAGCAATATTATTTGGCTGAGATTCTTCACATGTGAAGTTGGTCCAAAATTTTGTATCTAGCACAAAACTAACATTTAACTTGTGTCCCTTTCCCAAACTCTCTAAAGCTTACATCAAACAAGATGTGCAGTAGCTTGAAAAATAATCTTGCCACTATTTTGCAATCCACTAAGCATTGAGGGTGAAAATATGTGGCTCCAAAACTAATGTAATACTAGGAGCACAGTATCATTTCCCTGACCAGAACATGGAGGATGATCTTGAGATGAAAAACAAAACCAGGGAAGCATCCAAGCAAAGAAGCCTTGCAGCAATGGGTGACAGCGACTACCCCCATATTGACTGTATAAATGAGGTCAGTACAATCTCTAAGTGAAACAAGTAGAAGCTAATTGACATCCTACAGAAAAAGTTGAGAGCACTGGAACAGCAAGTGCCCACTCTCAAGATGCCAAAAAAGATGAAGTGCAACAGCAACCTGAGATAAAGAAGACTACCTTGGGCGAAGGGAAGAGGAGGACAAAACTCCTCGGGTAAGAGTGGCCGTTAAACACAGAAGACATGCAGCACAAGGAGCAATGGAACTCTCAGACCCCTTTCACTTCCTTGAGAAAGAGATGGGAGAGCAGCCTGATATGAAAGGAAAACAAGACACTTAGAGACACTCTGAACAAGAGACAAAAGAGCCATCAGGAAAGGAAATTATACCAAGGCTTGCAAGAACAGGAAGAGAAGAGGGTTAGCTGTGGGAGACTCCCTGTTGCGTGGGATGGAAAAGCACACGTGTCAGGATGAACTGTGCAATCACCAGGTATACTGCCTCCCTAGAGCACAGACCAAAGGTACAACTCACACATTCCAAAGCCTCATATAACCCTCTGACACACAACCTACTGACATACCACTTCCTTCTTGTACTTCTGGGAAGTAATGACACTGCCAAGAGGAGTCTGAGGAAATTGTGCAAGACTTTGAAACTCTAGGGAAGAAAATAAAAAACTTTGAAGCTCAGACATGTTCTTCTCAATCCTTCCAGTTGGTAGAAGCAGAAAAGAAGCAGCAGTGTGGATTCCTGGTTAAGAACTGGAGCTGACATGAGAGATTTCAATTCTAGGAACACGGGCCACACTTCCTGGAAGACTGACTGCTGGTGAGTGACAAGTTGCACTGTATGAAGAAGGGAAAGGATATTTTGGCCACAGCATGAAGAAGATTTCACAAGGGTTTTGAACTGATAAACTCCCCTACAGGGGAGGGAGATGTACATCCAGGCACAACATCAACTGCCAAAGGATTATGCATCACAACAGAGAAGGGAGCAGGGCCTAGCAGCAGTCTCCCAAAAAATGGAGGAAGAAAGCCAGGGTATAGTTTACATGGCCCTCTGTGTGTCTATAATGCCCGGAGTATGGGAAACAAACAACATGAACTTAAACTCTTAATACAAGTGGACAAATGCAACCTGATAGGTATAACTGAAACTTGGTGTGATGCTTCCCATGACTGGAATTCAAAATCTGATGAATATAACTTGTTCAAGAAGAACAAAAGGAACAGAAAAGGAGGTGGAGTTGCACTTTATGTTAAAGATACATATCTCTGCATTGAGATACAGGAAGACATGACCAGTAATCCCATCAAGTGTAACAGGATCAATATACAAAGAACAAAGAACAAAAGAAGCATAGTAGTTGGATTCTATTACTGACCACCCAGTCAAGGAAAAGATAAGTATGAAATTTTCAAAAAAAATAAATAAACTGCCAGTATTTCAAGGAGGCATGATGTTATTGCTATGGAGGGCTTCAATTTCCCTGCTATTTGTTGGGAGACAAATTCTGCCAAACGCAGCCCCTCCAAGAAACTCCTAACATGCGTGGCTGGTAACTTCCACCAGCAGAAAGTAGAAGAAGGACTGAGAGGTATGGTTTTCCTCAGCTTGATACTAACCAACAGGGAAGGCACAGTGGACAAAGTAGCAGCTATGGGAACTCTGGAGGAAAGAGACCCTGCCATATTTGAATTTTTGATTCTAATGGAAGCAAATGTAACCAAACATGTACCCTGGAATTCAAGAAAGCCAACTTTAACAAACTCAGAACATTGATAAGTCCTATGGCAAGCCACTCTAAAGGGGAAAGGAGTACTAGAAGGGTGGGAAATCTTTTTTAAAAAAGATATTAAAAAGCTCAACCACAAACAATTCAAACAAGGCAAAAGAGTAGTGGACAACAGAGGAAGCCCATGCGGCTTCACAAAAAGCTAACAGATTATCTGAAAACAAAAAGGACATGTATAAGAGGTAGAAGGAAGGCCAGACTACAAAGGAAGAATATAGACAGGTAGCATGGAGTTGTAGGGATGGCGTCAGGAAGGCTAAAGTGATGAACAAACTGAGGCTAGCAAGGAATGCTAAAAGCAACAAGAAAGCCTTCTTCAAATACATCCAAAACAAAAGACAGATGGAAGAGAAGGGAGTTCAACATGGATGGGAAAATGATAACAGAAGACAAAGAAAAGGCAGAAGTACTCAACTCCTGCTTTGGCTCAGTCTTCCCCCAAAAGAAGTACTGCAAGTAGTACAAGCTGAACATGCAGGATGGCAGCTCAAAACTGACAGACAAATGTTCAAGGATCTTCTAGTTGAGCTACATGACTTCAGATCTCCAGGGCCTGATGATCCTCACGCTAGAGTCATAAAAGAGCTAGCAGAAGAACTCTCAGAACCACTATGCATCATCCTTGAGAATTCATGGAAGACAGGAGATGTGCCAGATGACTGGAGAAGGGCTAATATTGCCCCTATCTACAAGAAAGGAAAAAAGGATGAACCTGAGAACTGCAGACCAGTCAGTCTTACATCAATCCCTGGGAAAACTCTGGAGCAAATTATAAAGCAATCAGTCTACAAACATCTTGAAAATTATGCAGTGATTACTAGAAGCTAATATGGATTTCTCAAAAACAAATCCTGCCAAAATTTTATTTTTCGACTGGATAACCTCCCAAATGGACTGTGGGAATGCTGTGCACATAATCTATCTAGACTTTAGCAAAGCTTTGACAAAGTGCCCCATGACA